AGCATGGCTGGCAGGGGAATTCTGGGAGTTGAAGTCCACCCATCTTAAAGCGGCCAAGGTTGAGAAACACTGCTCTAGATGTTTGCTTTGAGTGTTTTGACTTTTTGGCAAAGAGTTGATATCAGCACAGTTGTTCCGAGTTCACTGTTCTACAATTTACACAACCCTGTTTTATATTTTACCATTAATACTTGACAGGGTTTAACAGCTGGCACAGCTGATACAGAGTATTTGGCAAGGTTATCTGCAAGGCATAGTTTAAAAAGTTAATATGACAGCCACATATGTCATATTAACACATAGGTATGATCAGAGTTCCCATTTTTATGAGTGTTGCACATCAAATAGGCAGAACTTTGATTGCACCTTCATGGCCTCCCTCCTGACCATACCCTGTGGACACCCCTGGTATTTGCTCTGTGGAGTGTCATGTGCGAGACAAGCACACCTATGAAATCGCACACGCACAATTTATCTGGGGAAAAAGGTCATTCTTCTGAATTTTGAGCATTTGCAAATATTAGGGTTGGCTTGAACTTGTGGCTGTAGCAACTAGATCAATTCGGTTACTCGATGTTGGAGATTGTAAGACGCCAGGCCTGCACGGAGCCTTCCAACTGAAGAACAGCATAGTGTAGATCAGGGTTTTTCACGCTGGCTGGGGAATTTGGGGAGTTGAAGTCCACCCATCTTAAAAATGACCAAGTTTGAAAAATGCCAGGGTAGTTGTTCTCAATACTTCACTTTGATCACATTCAGGACGTCAAGTTCTTCCTCCGTGAATCAGGCATTTGAGGTTTTAATTTCTGCTTCTCCTTAAGCGGTGCTGGTGCCTATTTGCAGGCAAAGACTCTGACTCATCTGCCGTGGCGTTTTGTTTCTGCGAAAGGAAATTAGTCGCATAGACAACAAGTTGCTTGTCAAGGGTGGCTGCATCGAAGCACAGGCTGAAGGTGGCATTAAGAAATAACACTGCTTCTAAGAATAGAGGGGTGCCGGAGACCCGGCGCTGGGGAGAGGGGAATTGCGTAACCAGCGGGAGAGCGTGGAACGATTCCCCCCACTGCAGAAATTTCCAGAGCAGATTGTGTGAAAAAACAAACAAACCCCCAAGCACCATTCCGACATCTGCTGTGTTGGCTTCTCCATTCCTGCCATTCTTTCTCAGTCAACCCGGAGAGTCATCAGTTTATGGAATCTAAGAGGGCACCGTGTGGACAACCAGCTCTAGAGACCATCAAGCGCTCCCCTGGCCTTTTCTTGCCCACACCAGAGCTTTGGTGAGGCAGAACATGGACCTGATTCTGGTCAGGTCCTCAGGGGAACTCTCCAGTTAAAGGTGACTTGACTTCATGTATCTTACTTCTGAGTAGGAACAGTTTTGCTCCTGGCTTGCAAGAATAGTCAGGAAGGATCTCAGGAGGTAAGGAGAACCACAAGGATGATCTTGGAGAGCTTTGTGGCAACAGTTATGAAAACATGCTTTAAACCTGGGACATGAAGAAACATAGTTTCTCCAAGGTCATCTCTGTGGCTTCCACAACATCTGTGGAAGCGGCAGATATTGCTGGGCAACATCTGGAGAACCAAAGTTCTGCCAACATCTGGGGGACTAGATCTCCTGTTTTTGCAGTCTTACCCAGCTGGGTCTGCCCATGCTCCTCCTCCACAACCAAGGCAGAGAGTCATGAGGTGCTACAGGAAGCTGTTTTCTATCATCTCATCTCATCTCATCTCATCTCATCTCATCTCATCTCATCTCATCTCATCTCATCTCATCTCATCTCATCATATCAGAGTCATTAGTCTACTGTATGAAGATACATCACAGCTGCTCCTTGGTGCTTTAGACAAGAACATTTCCAGCCATGCCTGGAAATGTTGGAGGTGGAACTTGGGACCATGTGCATGATGTATGTGCTGGATCACTTAGCTTCTACAGCCCTGGCCAGGACTTGATGCCCCAGAAAAGGATGGAAGGGCGAGCCACTCTTGCTGATTCAAGGGCTACAGCTCTGAGGTTCAAGCACCAATTTGTCCTGCAGATGACTCCAGATCAGCGATCCGGGCATGGAAATGCCTCTGCCTGGGACTCCAGAGAACCATAGCCACTCTGGGTAGATGCTAGTTCCTGATGATAGTTCAAGTCCAGTGGTCTGGCTAGGAGAAATGCACTCTGCTAGATCTGTGGGTCTCCTGCCTGCAATCTCCCATGCTCCTCTCCCTTCCTTTCTCCCTCTTTTTCACTCAGGATAATCAGGTGTACCTGCACAGCTTGGCGGTTCTCTAATCTGCCACGATGACTCATCTCTTTTAATTAAGGCCAAGCCAAGCAATCCAGGAGCTTTGGCGGGCAGCTCCAGCAGAGGCAAACGAGTGCTTCCAGATCATTCAAGCTGGCTTATTTTTAGGCTCGTCTCTAGTGCAGAACTGGGTCATTCCAAAATGACAAAAAGCCAAGCTAGTTTTCAAAGGTTATTTTTATTAATTGATTTATTTGCCACCTCTAAGACTCTCGGGGATATACAGCAATTTATAATGCTATCGTTTTAAGGAGAGAAAGGGAGTGGAGCACTGAAGACCGATGCTAACGCTGCACCCCGTCTCATGACAGAGCCGGCCTCTTCCCACTAAAATCCATCCAATTTGCTAAGTTTTAGTCCAGTTTTCATTTAGGCTTGTTGTCATCTACATGTTCACCTGGATCTACAAGGATGTGTGAGGCACTTCCTACCGGATGGTACGGCAGTGATCTGGGTACCCCCAAACCCATCATGAAAACCACCCCTTCATTTCGCCCTGTGGTGGGACGGTGGGCAGCTGGAAGTGCAAATAACTTCTCCCAGATCCTTGATTTCTGCCTGTCTTACTTAGAAACAAGCCCAGCCTACCTCTGAGGCAACTTCTGACCCACCAATTAAGTTGCAAATCAATTCTCTCCAACTCTGCCTTCGTGCTGTGCTTTTTTTAAAAAAATAGTCAAATATCAGCATTTGTTTGCCCATGCAGCTTCTCTGCCAGACTTATCCATATGTCTCTTTCCCTAATCTGTGCCAATTTATACCTGGGTTTTTCTGAGCCCCAAATGGCAGGGCGGTCTTTGGAACGGTGCGTGGCTGGAGAACGGCTGTGTTCCAACACGTGGACTGGTTGGAAACTCTGAATCCAAACTAAGAGCATTCACCCTACCCGCATCACAGCCTGACGTTCAGACTGCCTTCAGAGTCCATCATCGTGGGCTGTCTCCAGCAGAATTAATCTTTTCTTTTCCCCCAATTTCCCTGGTCCAGGAGTTCCACCGATCCTGTGGGCCATGAAGTCATTTGGGCTTTGGGAGCAGGCTGCCGAGACATCATCTCTCTGCAGGTGGCACCCCTCCACCCTTGGTAAGGGCACCCCTGGGCATTCACGGGGCAGCTTCTCTCCCTTTTCAACACCCCCCGCCCCCGCCCTGCCAAATTGCAGCAGAAGTGGACGTAATCCTCACATGGCCTAAGGAGGAGGTTAAGCCTCTGTCTCCTTCCTGTGCAGTGCTCTCAGCGTCGTGCATGCATGGATGCTGAAATTAATTTTTTTAGAAACACCATCAAAGTGCAACCAGGTAAAGACAAAAGGGGAAGCATTTTGTGTCAAGCAGCATTGGGCAGTTTTCTGGCCAGCCTTGCAGGCTGTTGCCTTTTTCCTGTTTTTTTTTTCAACTTCAACCCAATCTAGCTGCAAACCAGGGATTTGCTGGTGGTCTCCCATCCAATTAAGCTTCAGCCTTTCCCTACATGTTTGAACTCAAGATTGCCCACAGACCTTTCCTACCTGGGGGAAGAATGGTGTGGGAAAGTTAGGAGGAAGGATCCATATTTTTCCCATTGTGGGTAAGCAAAACAGCTTCACGTGCAGGAAAAAATCCTGACTGTCAACACCCTCTCCCCACCTGCTCATCTGCTTGGCCCAACCAGGTTTGTGCCTTTTAAAAAAATACAGAGAAAGTTAATATTTGCTATAATGCATCCCCAGGATGTAGTTGAGCCATCTGGTACTGACCTCCCATTGCTTTTGGTGTCACCAATGCTCAGTCCATTCACACATGCCTTGGGTCAATGGGTGCATTCAGACAGCACCCTGAACTAACCCATATTCTAGACTTGAATTTAGTTTAAGTGATAACCTAAGCAAATGGGCAGGTTGGATACAAGAAGCTCAGCTAGCAAGCTTGGTATATAGGGCAAATCCTGCTGAACTTTGTTGGCGAACAACAGATTCTTTCCTTTTAAAACATAGCATGTGAATGCAAAAAAGTGAATTAAGAAACTTGGATTCTATGGTTCGTGAGGACCCCCGTTGGGTCCTGAATTAGCTCCTCTTCTGCATTCACACATTACTCTGAACCCTAACCTACCCCAGTGGGCTGTGTTCACGTAGCACACCCAGCCACCTAAAAAAATCCTCAAACCCTAATTAATCTTGTTAAATCTTGCATGAATGCCCCTGCAAGGTCTTTCCCTGAGCCCTTTAGACATGCGTTGTGAATTTAGTGGACTATTGAACACCATCCTCTCTATCAAAAATATAAACCTGAAAAGTTCAACATGCAGGACAGTCTCATGGCCAGGCTGGCACTCGGCAGTTGGAGCTGCTGCTGTTTCCACCTTGGCCTGTAGTGGTCCCAAGTCAGATAGGTGGACCCCTGTTCCAGGGAGCCCTGCCCACCAGCGTTGACCACCTTGGATTAGGTAGAAGAGGGCTTGGGCTCTCTGGAGGTCAAGCTGTCAAACCCCAACCAGCTCCCTTGACCGGTTCTGTTCCTAATTTGTATCTCCATCCCATGATCTCCATGATGAGCTTCTTGTCTCTCTTCTTCTGAAAATATTTTCCAGCCAGCAACCCACCCGGTTTAGCAACCGCTGCCTGCAGATGATTGGGCGTTGCTGGCCACACCTGAGAGCGCTGGGTGTCGGAGGGGCAGGGTGTGGCCTGCAGGGACTGGCCTCCTTAGGTAAGTCCAGGTTTGGGACCTTTTCTGGCCAAGAAAGAAGGAAGGAAAAGAGAAATGGAAGGTCTTCTTCTCATGTCTCCAGACTGATCATGATTTAAGGTGCCAAGAGAAAAGGGGCAATGGTGTTTGATGAAGCTGTATTCGCAACCCTGAACCATGGTTTCTAGAATAAGCCTCAGGGGCAGATTCACACTGCCCAAAATGTCCTCCGTGGCTTGCAAGCCCCAAGGGCTGAGTTCACACAACATTGGAAGCCCAAACCAAGCAAACTATAATAAGGTGTAGTATGATGAGCCAGTCCAATCAGGATCCATAAGACTGGATGTGTTGAGTACTTACCAGCTGGGCCATTAAGATGCCACCCTGGAGACAGCATGAGATTTTTGTTACTCCCCAGGTCCTTGTAGTTTAGGGTGCAAGATGGTGATTGGAGATTGTCCTTTGCCCTCTTCTGCATGTCGGCTGGATGGTGAGCCCAGGTTGGCTCATAGACTTCTTAGTGCATTTCAACTTCAGCTATTTTAGAGGGCATTGGAAGGGTGAAAATGGCAGCATGGGGGTGCTCCTGGTCAGCAAAGGATGGCAGACCAGCCTCCCCAGCCATCAGACTTCACCCAAGCATGGCAATAAATCTTTCTCACTCCAGAAACTCAAACCCACATTCTGGAACCAGCTAACCATAGAAGCTTCATTCGCTTGATCCAACTGGATGAGTTGCTTTATTGCAGACAAGAAAGCAGTTGAGTTTAGACAGAAGATCTGCCTCCTTCATGACACAGGAATCAGGTCCTTTAGATATGCAGCCCCAAGGTTTAAATCCTAGGTCTTTTCCTCCCACCCTTGCGAGTCAACAGACTCTTGGCTGCTCATCTGGCCTTCAGCGTCAGGGACATCTGCCCATTGTTGACATAACAATTTGGTCTAGCCTGAGCTGGGCTGGTTCCTACCATACCAGCTTCTGCCATTACATCAACTTCCACCAGGTGGGTGGGGGTTCCACCTTGTTCAGAATGCCTGGGAATTCTGGGGATTGTCTAGCCCCTTCCATAAGATACTTGATAGAAGCCTTCAGAAGATAAGCATGCAAGGACTGAGCACGTCTTCCCTGTTGCAAAGTCCAGGATTGGCCTGTCTTGACTCTCAAATGGGTTTCTTTCCCATTAGCCCGAAACTGCATGCGTCTCCAAGTGCTGGAGCTGGACCACGTGACAGAGGTCAATCAGGAGGTGGCGGCTGAGGTGTGTCGGGAAGGCTTGAAAGGCTTGGAGATGCTGGTTCTGACGTCCACCCCCGTGACCCCCAAAGCCTTACTGCATTTCAACAGTGAGTGGAATCCCCAGCAGGGTTGGCTTCAAGGTGGGAGCGTTCTCCGTTGAGAGCACTGTCCCTTGGAAGGGAATTATGGGACCTCTTTTTATTTCTGCAAGTTGTTGCAGAGATGGTAGGGCTGCGAAAGCTGGGCTACATAAATCTGGGCCAGCCACTATAGATCAGTGTTTCTCAACCTTGGCAGCTTGAAGATGTGTGGACTTCAATTCCCAGAATTCTCCAGCCAGCATAAAACATAACTCCCAGAATTCTGGGAGTTGAAGTCCACACTTCTTCAAGCTGCCAAGGTTGAGAAACACTGCACTAGGTGGTGGCAAAGGGCTAGAGTTTTCTGTGTCCCTTTGCTGACATCTAGAGGTGGCCTGGATATTGCAGCCCAGATGTTGCAGCTCTGATATTAGGCCCCACTTGCTTATTGCTGTGCAGAGCCAAATATTTGCACCATGCAAGACTTGGCCGTGCAACTGTAAGTGTGCTTACTCAGAAGTCACACTGAAGTGAAGGGGAGCCATGGCCATCCCAGGAAAGAGTGTGTTACATCGCAGCTTTCTCTTCATCACACAAAGAATCAGTCCCGTTGGCCAGCTATTGATATGGTAGTTAAAATGTCATGGAACTGTTACCAAAATATCCTGCTCTGTTAAGGTAAGGCAGAGTGAGGTCCCTTCAATGCCTTCTTTTAGAAGACGCTGCTGCCCGCAGCATCTCATTTTATCTCGTTTTGTTATATTTGGGACCTTTTATTGTTCTTGGTGTTTTAATCCGGGCTACCTGTTTACATGGGCTTTAATTGCTTCACTGTTTGGGGGATTTTGTAAGCCACCCGGGGCATAACAGATCTAATTAAATTAAATTAAATTAAATTAAATTCCTCATGTAAAAGTGCAGGATAGCCAACCCTCCTGCTCTTAATTCTCAGCCTCCCTCTTGCTGATGAAATCTCTTAAATCATCTGTCTACAGATGGATACGTGTTGTTGATTAATCTAGTAATTAAAAGCTTGCAGCCCCATTCATTAAATAAAAGAACATCCTTTACTTTTTGGTTTTGAGAGACCTTGGAGAAATTCGTCTTCTGGGGATGGAGCAGGCCATTAACAAAAATAGCAGGTCTTGTCATAATTAAGAGCCAGCGCGAATACAAATGGCGGAGTGCTGACTCAGACGTATATGCTGATCCAGATGGTTCCAAGGTCGTCTTTCATGGCAAAGAGATCACCCTGCTTAAGTGGCTTAAAAAACTATATCAGTGTTTCTCAACCTTGGCCACTTTAAGATGTGTGGACTT